TATTATCAGGAAGATGCTGCTGCCCATCTCCTGCCTGTTTCCCTTTGTCGCCTTTTACGACACCCACGGGAAGATATGGGGTAGTGGTATTCTTGACCGCCACTACACGGCATACATACATAGTCGATAATAATATTACTTATTAGGTTATTTATAGGTAGTATTATTTGTTTGTTTTGGGTATAATTTTTCGTATTAGTTATACATATATTTGTTGTGTTTTTTACTGCGCGGTGAAGCTTTTTGCGTGTATTTTCTTTGAAGTAAATGCAAATAAAAAAATGAAGCACCATTAGCATGTGAGGTTCGAATCCATAATTAAAATTTCGACAAATATTATAATTTACACTATAAAAGGCTAATTCAATATTATCACCCAACCACAATATCTTATTAAGTATAGTACTGCCTCTTTGGTCTAGTGGTTGTAGTAGTGCGACTGCTGATCATGAGGTCCCGGGTTCGAATCCTGGGTCGGGCCCAAAAGTCAGTTATGAGTTTTTCATTTTATGTTCTAAGTTATAATTAGTATTACTAAGTTATAGTTTTTTGCTAAAATATAGTATATTATTTATTGCTTGTTTTTTCTTCTTTTTCAAAAAATAATTGAGTACATAAGGTGTTCTATACTTGTAATTCGGTAAAAAGTATCTAAGTAGGTACTAATATACCTACTTTTTACTATTAACTAAATATTTTTAAAACTAAATTTAACTAAAAAGACTAAACTGACCATTTATTTTTTAACTCAAAACAGGACATGGGTTTATTTATACTCTAAAAACTATAACTTTATACAATTAGTGTTCACTGTAAAATTATATTCGGTATAGACGGTAATTATTAAATGCAACATATTTTTTTTAATTATTAATTACATTTGTCAGTGGATTAAATTTTCTTTAATAAAGTTGGTGATGATTTTAAATAAAAATAAAATTACATAATAATTAACAACATCGCCTTTAGAACTCTGGAACCGTAAGTGTTTCTTTCAGACGTCCACAATTTAATCAAAATAAAAAAAATAATCTTTCTACCGGAGCATTCGTACCAGGTAGACATAAAATATATTCGTTTAAAAAAAAATTATGTTGAAGATTGTTGACTTTGAATACTTCCATCCAACGAGTTACGGGACAATTTTGTGTCCCGGAGCTTTGTTTGGGGACAATGGGACAGGTGACCGAGAAAAGGGACAGTCCCGTTCAAAACGGGACGTATGGTCACTTTAGCTATAACCCGGCGACGGCTTCGTGGCGTAGTGGCTTAGCAATCAGTTGTTGCGCTGGGGGCCGCGGGTTCGAATCCCGCACGGAACAAGTATTTGTATGGCCTACAAATAATTGTTCCGGGTCTGGATGTTTGTCCTTGTGCAATTTATGTTTGTAAACTGCCTCCACGACACAGGAGAAAATCCTAGTGTAGGGGTAACGTTTTTTTACAATTGAAATTGAAAGATTGAACCCTTGTACTTCTTGTTGATTTTTGTATTACCTTTATTAAAGTTACCCTTATGTATAAATAAATATAATTACGTATGTAGAAATAAAATTGATTTTCATCCTCATCAATCATTGGGGTGAGGATAACGTCTGCCAGCATAAATAATAAGCAGGCTAAGTTACAAGGTGCTCAGTTAAAAAATTAGTAGGTAAGTATATTACTTTTCAATACGTGACACGTAAAAATTAACAATAATCAAAAACACATCTGCGAAACATCCTATTTATTTATTTATTTTTATTGCACCAAATATTTGTACAAAAGCCGAGCTATCTATTTATTTACCTATAGTGAATAGGTATCTTTTAAACTCACAATTTTCAATGCTTCATTTTTAATATATAATTAATTATAAAATTTCATAATTAGATAATATATGAAAATACATAATTCTAATATAATGCAACATATATATACCGAATAAAAAAATTAAAATACATTTATCTTTGTACGCTGTGTGTATTTCCATAAAATAGTTTATTGATGTTGAAAAAATAATACTACGTTATATTGTAGCGAGCGGCGCGCCGGTCATATGCTCAAGGCCGTTCGCATGGAGTAGCCCCTTAACTTTCAGAAAGTTCCACGATATGATGCGCTGTGATTGGTCGAATTTTTATTAAATGCTTAAAGTTGTTTATATCAACTATTATTAAAAACGACATTCTATACAAGTATATTAGGAGTTGTAAACACATTGTAAACCCATATTAATACACAATTTGCTTGATTTTGTTAGTAATTTCACTTTTTAAACAAATTAATATTCTTTCATCACTTTTTGCTTAAAGTCTTTAAACCGTCGCGAACATATTTCAATAAGCAGTAAGTCAAACTTAGTATTCAGAGACCAGATGTTAGTGTATAAAAATGTGAGTGTAGCGTACGGGTTGTTAGTGATTAGTTTTTTTGTTTTATAATTTTGGGTTCTCCCTTGACATATTTGATTGTGATGTCCGTTTTACCCTTCTCTTGCCTAGCTAGCAGTTCGGTACGCAGAACCTGTAGGGCCTCTCTTTGTTTTGGTGTTTGGTCACAGTAGATTTGCAACGGTTTGATCAACTTTTTTTTGTTTTGATGTGCCTTGACAGCTACCCACCGAGACTTAAACACTACTTTGAGCAAACGAGTTTTGCCTGTTTCTCCTTCTATCACATTGCACTGCATCCTCCATATTTACACTTTTTACACACTGATAACACTTCGTAATAGACATGTTCGCGAAGTTTGAATGTAAATACACAGTGAATATTGATTTTTAATCGAAATTTAGAGTAGGAGAAATTCACCAACACAACTGTTCACTTTAAAGGTAGACAGAGAAAAAAAAAGCTATTAAAATAAATTTATTATTAATCAATTAAATAATTATGGTAATGGTATTTACAGAATATATTAATTAGTAATACTTTAATATAGTACATATTATGTACCTTAATTCTCGTCTTTGCCTTCTTTCCTCGACTGCCAAACGCCACGCAAAATAATAATAAGTCGTGGATCTCATTCTATTTATTCCTAATAAAAATATTTTAAACTTACATGAACGAAAAACCCAGAGAAACTTAAAACTAAGACTTCTCTATAGCGTTCCCGCTGTAAAAATGTCGGTGAGAACAATTTCGTAGTTCTCTACAGTGGATAGACGATAACGTACGTCAAAAATAGATTCGTGCTGCCAAAATCCACACATTTTGCGTCTTACGATTACTTAAACCAAACGATAGCTATGCATAACGCAGCGTTAATGTTCGTGCTTCCATATTTTAGTTCCAAATACGCTCACGGAGCGCTGTTCAAATTCCCATACAAAATTTTACTGAAACTAGACTGTCTCGTAAACTGTACTATAGAGCAAAATGTTCGTGCTCGGGGTACTGAAGAGAGAAAACCTCAAGAGAAAATACTCCATAGAAGACTCCCATGTGTATATAATAATCACTGCCGCTTGTAAATAGTACAATATATAATCGTCTACTGTACCATCTTTTCTTCCACCGTCCCTAGCATAGTTTACCCTACACAATATAGTAAAGTTAAATCAGTCATATTTAAATTAAATACAGTCCACTAAAGTCCCCTACAAATAGTCAACTTGAGTGCATCGCGGTTCTTTGGACTTTACATAAACCTTGGAGAGAATTTAAAACAAAATTGTTAGGTTAGGTTAGGTTAGTTCTATATTTTAAACAGCATGGGATATATCCTTTCAAGTTAAAATTACAGCCTATACACGTCCCATTGCTGGGCAAAGGCCTCCTCTCATTTCTGAGAGAGCGTTGTTGATTTTCAAGTTTTATTAATTTTATTGCTATTAAAAATTTAAAGGCGCTTTAGTTTTTTTCTTTAGCTCTTGATAGACAAAGGTCAAGTGTATCATACAGCCGATATATTATTTTATACTTTGTGTAATCGATTTATTTTGGTAATTTTTTTTTTCGTCAATACTAAATTAAACTCATGAGGCGTGCAATTTTGGATTTTCCAAATTATTTACTTCGTCGTCGCAAAAATGCTAGGGGTTGTTACGAAATTGGGAATAAAATAATTTTGGATATTATAATTCTCATTATCATTTACTAACATTATGTACATACTTATAAGTAAAAACATTTATTTAACAAGATAAATATTAAAGTTGCACTTCCAAACATTTTCGTGACGCTTTCTTTTTATAGATGTTTTGAGTTTTCGATTGATAAATTTAATTATGCACTGTATTCGCATTCGGATAAACAATTTTAATGAAAGAAAAAGAGGGAATCATGAGTATGTCCATCATTTGAATTCAACTTTACTTAGTAACACATAACTATACAGGTTGTTTGGAAGATGGGTGCAAAGCCTGAAGGGAATGGTACCTTAAACCATTTAAGACAAAAATTAAGGAATTTTTTTTTATGCCATCATAAAAAAATAGCCTTTGTTGTTCAAACCTTCTTAAAAATATGCTTACTTATTGGGCCGTCTTTTGAGGTATTATTTACATAGATGTTCTCATCAACTCTTGGAATTCGGTGTACAAAGCAAATGGCGGACGAATATTTTTTATTTTTAACAAACCAAAAAAACAATCTTTTTTTGTTAAAATAATTTATTTTTCGTGTTCAAAATGTTAACCGCGATTTCTGACACAAGCGCGGGCTCGTTTTCTCACTTCTGTGGTCGTAATTTTCATTTTAATCTCCTACTTCATAACTTGAAATGTCATATGGATTCTTCCTATTAACTTCTCTCTGGTTGATATTTCCGCATGCGTGTAGATGAGCTCCTTGGCCCATCCGAAAACGTAAAAATCCACAGGAGTTACATAAATCTGGCGATTGAGGTGGCCAAGAGATGGGCCTGTCTTTGCCTATCCAGTTCTCACAATATTGTTCTATTATCCTAAATAATATCATATAATCAGTCTCACTACTTTTTGAAGGAATGTAAATAACGCAACATAGAAATAAAAATATCCGATGTAAGGTCAGGCGGGGCAAGCGCGCCGACGGGGTAAGCGCGCCTACCATAAAAATATCGAAAACTACAGATATAATACAACTAACGACATCTTACATCCATGCAACAAACTAAAACACAGTTCCACTTCACAATCACAGATGCCTCAGTTCACCATAACTTGATGTATCCGCCATTTCGGTTTTAGTGTCATTTAAACCTGTTACCAGAGACGAGCACGTGTTACTAATCCCCTTAGATCTTAAAATATTTTACGTATTGCCGCAAACCAATGAGGTGAGTACAGAATTTAATTGTTTTTCTTTAAATCTATGTCTGTATTTTCGCCCTAGATAGTGAAATTAATAATTTTTTATAGAATTTAAAATCTTAAGCTCAAAATAGTTAAGTGAGGCAAGTGCGCCTAAGTTCTTAGTAGTATGGCGCACTTCCCCCGAGCCAGAAGTCGTAAACTTTCATGATTCAGATATTTTCTTACCCGACGGCCTCTGAATCTGAAAAAGGCGTTGGGTGATGGGTTTACAGTAAAAGCCTCGTATTAAGTCTATAAACTATTTTTAAATAAGTAATTTTATTTGTATTTTCTTGGGATTTGCTTTTGAGACGCTATAATTATATAACTCGTTGAACGTTAGTGCAAACAGTAAAACCAACGTACTTGTAGTTTCCTTTGTTCGTTACTTTATGCGCCCTTAGGTGTGCCTAAGCTCCTTAATCGGAAGCGATATTCGAAGTCAAGCTACTTTGGATGGGTGGCTGGTAAACTATCACTCCGGCTGTTATCATTCAACGTCAGTCTTTAAGCCATGTTAGAGACCTTTGGATTTTCTGAACAACTCTCACACTAGGTTGCCCACAGATCTCTCGACAACAAGGAGCAGTTGGATACTTACTACAACTGGTTCTAAAATTATTGTCTTTTTACAGATGGTTCGTACTTATCAAAGAAAAACCGATAAGCCTTCTTGGTCTAGAGAAACTTTATGTCAGGCAATTGACGCTGTCAGATCAGGCCTATCCGGATATGAAGCAGCGAAAACTTATGATATACCTCGTAAAACAATCATGGACCACGTGACGGGTCGAAGGGGCCAAAAATCATCAACACAAGGTAGACCACCAGCCTTGTCAGCTGAAATTGAAATAGAGTTAGCTAACTGTTGTTATATGAACTTAAGTTGTATTCGATTGAGGTGGATAACATAAAAAAATGTTATGAGACTGAAGTAGAGTGCCTTAAATCAGAAATATTGTCACTTATGAACTCCCTTCAAACTGTGTCCAATAAATATAAATCAGCCCAAAATGAAATAAAAGAACACATATTGGCTATGGATAATCTGGTAAAGACTTGTAAATATAATGAGGAGCGGTTTGACTCCTTAGTTAAATATCAATGTGAGTGTCAGCGCTCAATGCCAGATTCTTCAAAGTCAGTGTGTGCTGATAATATTATACCACCACAAAAACTCTATGACAGTGCCATAACAGAGGATATTAAAATAATAAATAACTCAAATATTACTAAAAATAATATAATTGTTTATAGCGATGACATGGGAAAAAATCTAGGCATAACTTTAAATAACTCTTTAAAGGGACAAAAAGTTACAAATTGCTGCATGCCTGGAGCATCTTTTAGTGACATCCTAAATAAAATTATTGTTACTAAATTTTGCCCAAATAGTACAATAATAATTTTTGTTGGTAGAAGAGGCAGTGTCAACAACAAACAGTTATTAAGATATATTGAACAACTTAATAACTTAAATGTACACAAAATTGTCTTGTTCACACTGCCTTATATACAGGGATTGCCACAAGAAAATAATTTAAGACATAATTTAAATATACAAATGCATAATTTAATATGTAATAATAATTTAAATTTGACATATAATTCTAATGATAATAATCATAAATTTCATGTAATTGACATAAATAATTTAATAAAAAAGTTTTGGACAAAAGATAGGTATTACCTATCCAAATATAATTTAAGACTGATAGCAAATGTGCTATCTTATTATTTACTTTTTAACTCAGCCAAGTTTTTGGCTACCAAGACTGCTTTTATTGAGCATAATCATTTGACATTTAATTTGGAATCAGTTCCAACTAATTTAAATTAGTGAATGTGACAATAGAGGCAATCTCTAGCAATAATAAGAGTTTAATTAATTTTGAATACAGCCCACAAATAAGTAATAAAAATTGTTTACACCTGGTGCATCAAAATATACAAGGCATGTTGGGCAAAGAATTGGAAGTTGAATTGTTTTTAAATAGTAACAATATACACATCCTTTGTATTACTGAACATTGGCTAAAAGATTATAATTTCATATTTAATTTCAGAAATCACCAGGTGGTCAGTTCCTTCAATAGAGAAAAAAGTTTACGTGGTGGCTCCTTAATATTAGCAGATAAATCATTATTATATAAAGAACGTAAGGATATTGTGAGCCTCTCTGTTGAACGAACTGTAGAAATGGCTTGTGTCGAGCTCGAGCACCTCATTGTTGTAAGTGTTTACAGACCCCCATGTGCTACTTATGACCATTTTGAAAGGATTGTGGAAGAAGTTTTACTCAAACTTAGTAAACAGAACAAGTCTGTTGTAATGTGTGGAGACTTTAATATCAATCTCCTTGAAACTTCTTCCATTAGTATTAAGTTTAGCTCATTGTTTAAATCGTATAATCTTGTAAATTTATTCTTAGAACCAACACGTATTGCTGGGCCTAGTGCGACCTGTATAGATAACATTTTTACAGATGTTAAGCCCTTGCATAAATCAATTATTCAAAATTTAAGTTCAGATCACTGTGGACAGTTAGTATCACTACCTTACATACACAAAAAACAGAAAAATAAGAAAGTTGTGTTTGTTCCAATAAATGAACATCGCTTGGAGAGGTTTAGAAGTAATATAATAAAAAGACTTCCATCACTTTCGTTTAAAAATAGTGCTAATTATTTGTATGCTACATTATTTGAAATTATATGTTGTGAATTTAGTAGAATATTTACTTCTAAAACTTTCTCTTTTAACAGTCGCAAATCATTTAATGAATGGGCGACAGTAGGAATTCATAAAAGTAGGCGAAGGTTATACGAGCTTTATGATGAAAGATCATATAATAGTAGTGTTATATTTAGAGATTATGTAAAAACATATTCTAAAATATTTAAAAAAGTGTGCTCCACTGCTAAGGCTTTACATTTAAGCAACAAAATTAAAACTGCATCCGACAAAATTAAAATGACCTGGAGAATAATAAATAGTGAAACGGGCAAGGTCAAACCGCGCAACTCGGATTTTCAATTGAATATTAACAATAATTTAACGCGATCTGATCAAGAAGTTGCTATGGCTTTTGAGAAACATTTTACTGATGTTCCTTTTTTGACAACAAAATCATTAAATTCTTCTCCTACTGTCGCCGAATCATTGCTCAAACAAAATGTAAAGGCTTGTTCAAATACTTTTAAATTCCATAGGGTACTGCCAAAAGATATCGTTAAATATTTTAAAACTATTGATGTTAAGAAAACGGCAGACTTATGGGGGATTTCCGTTAAAGTTATTTTATCTATAATAGATACATTAGCACCTTATCTAGCCACTATATTTAATATAAGCGTCGAATCTGGTGTGTTTCCTGATTTAATGAAACATAGTAAAGTCATACCTATATTTAAATCTGGTAGTACATTAGACCCCGCCAATTTTAGACCAATTTCTGTACTACCAACATTAAGTAAAATTTTTGAAAAAATTATTTTAGATCAGATGTTAAGTTTCTTTAATATTAATAAATTGCTACATAATAATCAATTCGGTTTTACAAGGGGTCGCTCGACAACTGACGCTGGAGTTGAGCTTATTAAACATATTTTTTGTGCATGGGAGAAATCAGAGGATGCTTTGGGTATATTTTGTGACCTTTCCAAGGCCTTCGACTGTGTTCACCATGAGACATTAATCAGGAAGCTACAGTACTATGGTGTCAAGAACACAGCGCTTAAACTTATTATTTCATATTTAAGTAATAGAAAACAGAAGGTTATTATCAATGGTAAAAGTTCTTCCGGGTCACCTGTACTAATGGGTGTACCTCAGGGCTCGATTCTCGGCCCATTCCTGTTTCTGGTGTATATTAATGACTTACCTCACCTTGTAGGGGATAGTCATGATATAGTATTATTTGCTGATGATACTTCCTTGATTTTTAAACTTAAACGTCAATCATTTAAATGTGACGAAGTGAATAATGCTATATCAAAATTAGTGCATTGGTTTAACGTTAATAATCTGCATTTGAACGGAAATAAAACTAATTGTGTTAAATTTACAACAACGAATGTTCAAAATCTGAATACCAATGTGTTTTTAAATGGGGAGGAATTGAGCCCTGTTGTATCCACTGTTTTTCTTGGCATCACTCTTGACGCAAAGCTCCAGTGGGGCCCCCATATATCCAAATTAGCAAGCAGACTAAGTTCTGCAGCCTATGCTGTAAAAAAGATTAGAGTTCTCACTAGTGTCGAGACAGCTAGATTAGTTTATTTTAGTTATTTTCATAGCATAATGTCTTATGGGATTTTGCTATGGGGAAATGCGGCTGATTCAGAAACTATTTTTGTTTTACAGAAGAGGGCCATTAGAGCTATTTACAATCTAAAACCGAGAGAGTCTCTTAGAGATAAATTTAAAGAAATTAATATATTAACTTTGGCCTCTCAGTATATTTACGAAAATTTAATGTATGTTCACAAAAACAAAGATAGTTTTAGTAAAAGAAGTGATATACATTCTGTAAACACTAGGAACAAACACAAGCTAGTGATACCAGTTTCTCGACTCCACAGAGTCAGTAATTCATTCTTGGGGCAATGTATACGCTATTACAACAAGGTCCCGGAAAGTGTACAGGTTCTCTCTATTACCAAGTTTAAATGTTTTATTAAGCTGAAACTGTATAAAAAGGCTTATTATAGTATAAATGAATACATGGTTGATAATAACCCTTGGGAATGAGGTGATCGCTTCCAAGCAGTTTCTAAAATAAATTTTGTAAATAGTTCGTAATAATTTATATTGTAAAATTTATTTAAAAAAAAAAGTCCCGCTGGGTTTCTTGCTGGTTCTTCCCAGGACAGAGGGTTTTTTCGAACCAGTGGTAAAGTAAAAAATGACTTTCAATAAGAATTACACATGTAATGTATATTGAATAAAAAATATTCTATTCTATTCTATTCTATTCTATGTCTACATATTATGGAAAGGCATGGCTTTGGGTTAAGTCGGAAAGAGGTAATAGAACTGGTTGGCGAGTACGTTAAAAAAAATAACATAAATACACCATTTACCAATGGCATCCCTGGAAACGATTGGTTTTCTAATTTTATGAAACGACATAGGTTGTCAATAAAAAAACCTCAAGCAGTTGAGATAGCCCGTAAAAAAGCGGCTGACCCTTTCATTATACAAGAATTTTACGACATTGTCGAAAAAGTTATTAAAGAGCTAGGGCTTGAAAATAAGCCAGAGAGAATATATAATATTGACGAAACAAGCTACTGCAGCGACCCTCAAAAAACCAAAGTGGTCGGCTTAAAGGGATATCCTTCAACTAGAATAACATCATCAGCTGGTAAAGTAAACACAACCGTCTTGGTTGCCAGCAATGCAGCTGGAGGCAAAGGGCCTCCATTTATAATTTTCAAAGGTAAGCATGTGTGGAGTGGATGGACATCTGAGGAAGCATATCCTGGCACTTTATACAGTGCGACATCCAATGGTTGGATTGAATCCGAAGTTTTTGCAGAGTTTATGGCAAAAAGTTTCATTCCCATGGTCAAAGATGAGAAAGAGCCAACCCTCCTAATTTATGATGGTCATAGCACGCACGTGCAACTGGCTGTGGTCAAAATGGCGAAACAAAATAATATCACCATTATTAAATTGCCACCACACACAAGTCACCTTCTTCAACCACTTGATCTATGCGTATTCAAACCTTATAAAGACGCTTGGGATCAGGAAATGGTTAAATGGCAACGCACACATAAGGGCGAAAAGTTACCTAAGGATCAGTTTTCAGCGATAGTGGGAAGAGTTTGGAAAAATCTTAATTCCAATGTTATAAAAAAAGGGTTCGAAAAAAGCGGAATTTATCCATTTAACAGAAAAGCTGTAACGGAATATAAACTAGACCCAGAAGCCCTAAAACGATGGAAAAAACACCATGAAACCTTATCGAAAAAACAAACACTCGCTCGTAGTTCACCATTAACCTTAACCAAATTATGCCTGAATAAAATTAACTCTTGTATTAAATTAAACTCGAATCCAGTCACCATTTTGCCAAAAATCGTTAGTTCAAAATCTTCTGAGAAAATATCTTTTGAAGATTTATTAATACAATCTACCAAACAATCGCAAACTGCCAATGTCAAGAAAAAGATAGTAAAAATTTCCGCAAGTGCAGAGGTGATAACGCATCAGGACGTCATTGAAAGATTGAAACAGAAGGAAGACGATAAAGCCAAAAAAGAACAAGAAAAAGATGAAAAACGAAAGCAACGAGAGCAACGAGACCAAAAAAAGAAAATTATAATAAGTAAACAAAATGAGAAAATTGATAAAGTAAAAGTAAAGAAAATTGACGAAAAGAGTAAAAATATAAGACTGACAAAAAACAAACAATCGCATGTTACTGACCCACCAAGCTCGGAAGTAACTCTTTCTGAAATAATATCACCTAATTCAGACTTGAACGTCCGTGACCCAATTCATTTTTTACAAGACGATTCTTCAATACTTAATTGCCATGCAAGCACCTCAAAATTACCACCGCCACTGACTTCAAAAACAAAAATTGCTATTTTAGAAGACAGATATTTAAAAGTTGATGAAAAACTGACCAAAGATATTTTTACAGGACATAAAATGAAACGACCAGCAGACTTTACTTTACAGGGCACTGATGAAATACATACTTCAAAACAAATTAAATATGAAAAACAAAACAATCCCATCAAAATAAAAACGAAAAAAAAGCAAAATAAAATTAAGATAGAAGAAGATTTAGAAGAAGACAGTGACTTTACGATTCATGATTCAGATGGTTCAGATATGGACCTAGAAAGTTACTGTAATATTTACCTAACAGAATATAAATCAGATGATGAAGAAAACGTATATACGGATTTTGGACTCACCGATATCGAGTATTATGAAAATACATCAAACAAATTAAAGAAAGGTGATTGGGTTCTAGTCAAGTTTTTGTCAAAAAAAAGTGTAAAACATTATGTAGGGCAAATTATTAATATTAATGATGACATTCCAGTGATAAAATACGTACGAAAAACTCAAACAAAACAAAGAGGTTTGCTTTTTGTCTATCCTAATGTGGACGACATATGTGAGTTGAAACATGTTGCAGATATTGTGTCAGTTTTGCCGAAACCCACAATAACACGTCGTGGCCAAATATCCTTCAGTATTAATATCGGTAAATTTAATTTACAGTAAGTTCTTACTATTTATTATAATAAGATTTTTGGAGATATTTGTTTTATATTTTTTTGTTAAGTCTTTTAGGTGATAATTATAATTTGGACCAAAGTTAACAAAGATTTACATGATTTTACTAAGTATTTAAGTACTTAGATTACTGACATTAGATTATATTTTGTTATTGTTTTTTATTTTTGCTTGATTTTAATGCGTCATGTTGTTTAAATATTTAAGCCTAACAAAGACTGAAATATTTTTTACTTTACCATGTAAGTTCTTGCGTGCCATCCACTAGATTACTAAGTATTTGCTTCTTCCTATTTCGTCAAAGGAAAAATTGTTACCTACTTTTGTATTTTTTTTTAATAAATAGACGTAATGCATAAATTAAAAGTCTAATTTGATTAATTAAATATCTCTATTATTCCAGCCAAACCTGCAGACATTTTTATTTAAATACAGCAGTTTTTACTTTTTATAAAAAAAAAGAGCATTAAAGGTTTAGTGCCCCTGATTACTAGTCTACGGCGCACTTGCCCTAAATTTGTTATGGAAGCTGCAGTAGCCTACAGGACGAGTAAATTAAAAAGAAGCCAAGAGTAATGCGTTTATTTGTTTATGTTCTATTCAGTAAATTATCTGTTTTTCTGGTAACGTACGATTTTAGCGTCTTTTTTTATATAGGCGCACTTTCCCCGTTCCTAAGGGCAAGTGCGCCTATATCCATGTTTTCTAATTTAATAGAAAATATCGTAAAAATATTGATTGATTTGATTGAATCGACGTTTCTTGCAGCTACAAAATTCCAAATATTGACAATTTAATAAATGTTCACTCATAAGTCAGCATTCAAAAAAAATATTTTGCATCGAAATCATCTATGCAAAAAATATGGCGCCCTTGCCCCGCCTGACCTTAAGTAAATAGATGCATTTGCGCACTTGAATTCCTCGAATTGAATATTGTCGATGATGACGTCACCGGAAAACGCCATTGGCCCGTAGATTGAGGATTGACTAGATAAAGCATTCGCGTATGCTTTTGAGATAGAAATAGGCGGGAGGTACTTTCACTGGGTTACCAGATATTGTTCCATTTCTCCCGTTATGGGTTTATTTATATTCACAGCACTTACATTCATACAAAAAATTTAATTGTTACCATAAAAAAAATGTTCTTTTATAATTCAGATGATTAATTCATTTCTCTTGAAAATACATTCTGTGACTAAAAACTACAGGCGGAAACGGCGTAAAAACAGAATCATCATTCTGTATTCAACGGCGAAACGACGATTTTACTGGACATTCAATAAACTCTTTGGATTTTGACGGCACTAAGTGAAGACGCTACTATCACAAAGTGTGATATTGCTAATAAATAACAATATGTTATGTATGTACTTAAATATTAATTAAGAATAAAAATATTTAATATAAACAAAAATTTCCTCGTGTCGAGTTTTGTTTTTACAAAAAAAAAAAACAATAATGTTTTAACATACCATTCCATCACAAGTTCAGTGCTGAACACAGACCACCGAAAGGAAAGGCTTTCCACTTAGGTTTTGTAGTACAAAACACGGTAAAGAGGCTACTCCCGCGATTTCCTGCATGTTTTGCTAAGTTAGTGTCTTGTGTGCGGCAAGTTGTGGCGTACAAGATAATTTGTCTGTACACGGAATGATATTACCCCGCGTCGTAAGCAATAATACAAGATGGGGATGGGGCAGCAGCACTTTCCCGATGAAAACTTGAAATAATAAATAACTGCGGTGGCCAACCAGCATAACGCATATTTTTACGCAGGCGTGGCAACTATGGTAAAAGTCATCCTATGAGGATATTTAGGGAAGGCCTTTTTTAGGTGACTTACTTATGGTTAGGTGGCTTAATCATTTTACCTAATGGTTAAGGTGGTAAAATGTTTTAGTTAATATACGTTGTAAAGCATCAACAAAGGGTTTGTTTTTGTAATATGTTTGTATATAAAATAAAAACGAATGTTTTATAATATTCTATTTTAATTTACCATACAGTGTAAGATTATCTGCTACCTCATATCATTCCATGGGTGGTGTATGAGGCGACATAGGGAAACATCAAAGAAGATAAACAGCAGCATCTTCCTGATAACAGCTAAATAAAAAAAAAAACGCTTTCCAAGCGTTGAAACTATGTCAAATAACTATAATCATGTTTATGTTCAACAGTAGACTTTTGATAGACTGTAAAGATATATATTCTATTCAAATGAATATATATAGAAATATAAAAAGGAAAAAGAACTAAATTTTGTGTACTTACACAACATTTAGAAATATTAACAATGTTACATTAATTAAAACAAATGAAAACACAATTATATATTAAATATAATTCAATAACATTAAAATAAACATACGATTATTTATTAATTTTTCATCACGTTAATAAACAAATTTAACAAAATTTTTGTCTTCTTTCTAGAGCATTCGTTGTAATTCTTGGTTTGAGTAGCTTTAGAATTTCTCAAAAATATGCTTTTGTAAACTTGATTTATCCTTTGCATGGCAGAAATTCTTGGGTGCTGGTTGTTAGAATCGGATTAATCTGGTTGTTAGATCGGTATATATATATATATATATATATATATATATTATGCCTTGTATATAATACATTTTAATGGTATAAATAATAAGGTACAACTCCTAAATTATACTTAGACAGGTAATACTTATCTCTTGTGAAAAAGATCTTTATTACATTATTTATGACAATTAAATAGAAATTATCATAATTATTACATTTATTTCTTAATTTATTTACACATTATTGTTTACAACACCTTTATAAAAGGGATTAAGGATGGACTAAATGTCCCATTGGTAGGCATTCCCAGTCAGTTTTACAATTATTATTGCATAATAAATTATTCATTTGTATATTTAGGTCAGGACTTTAAATTATTTATTTATTTCTTTTATTTAAATCTTTATTTGCATAAAACATCTACCATGTTTTATGCAAATAAAGATAAAGTTCCAACATTTGTAGATGAGGACTCATGTTTAATCAATCCATCTATAAGTAAATATTTTGTCTTTGTCATTCAACCAAATTATTACAACTCTTAATAATACAGAATGTCAGCATTTGAAAATAAAATAAGCAATGCTAGTCAATTTTTAATACATACAGAACAATGTCAAAAATCATAACAACTAACAAGGTCAAACTTATATCACTTATGGAGAAACAACAAGATACAACAAGAAATTATAACATTTAAAAAAAATATCTTAATTATATTATAAATTACATAAGTTAAGTATATTTAGTCCACCTAAAACAATGAGGCTCACAATGTTTTGAGCATATACTGCTAAGTTTTGTTGGTTATCTATAATTACTACCAGTAGCGATTATCCAACAGTTACGGATAGCTGATTCCTTAGAAAAGCTGTGAAATAATATATTTAAAAGAAATTAATATATTAAATATATAGTACACTTTTATATCAAGGCATTTAACAAAAAAAAAAATCAAGTATGGGTATCTGTGCATAAATACAATACCTATAACAATTAATACAATATCAATTGATTTAATTAAATAGCAAGTATATGTAAATGTAATGATAATATTACTCATACCAAACATTTTAAAAAATTATGTACATATTAAGCTTTAGATATTGTTAATTAATACATTTACAGCCTAACATAGTTATGTCCTCCACAGCTGAACATAGGCCTCCCACACAGTTTGTCTCCAAATAACTGCAGTTGCCAATTCTCCTGCCAAGCTAGGCAACTATCACAAAAACTATAATTTTTGACTTTTGATACTGACTAATGGTAACGGTAAGTATATTATCATCAAATTTTTTCTACATCATTAATTGAGAATATTATCTTATGTTGTTGTGTTATTGTGTACCTTAAGATTAAGACTTATTTATTTATTTATTATTTTATCTATGTTTATATTTATTTTTATATTAGTATGACATATTTATTTATTTTTTTAATAAATATTGTAATGTAATTGTTGCTAATGTATAATAGAATTAATAGAATGCAATAAAGTTTTGTG